ATTATTTCAGATGGTCACATAAAGGTGTATGGCTTGATCAGAGATTTTCTGAAGTGTGTGTGTGAGTGAGTGTGTGTGTCTGTGTTTCAGTAGTGGACAATAGAGGATATTTTGAAGTGTTGTGTTGTCAACACTAATCTGATTTTTGTAACTGGAGGTTTAACATAAGGCTGAAAAACATTCCTGTGGTGTGGTTTAGGTTTTATAGGCATCTAACAATTTCACTCAGCACGAAGGAGTTGTAGGTTAGAGGAGGTTTTTGCAGAGGTGTCAGACAGGACTTGAACAGTCTAATAATGTGTTAGTATTATACAAATGCTCTAAATACCTTTTGAAGGCAGACACATTTGTGATGTTTGGCTGAGATTTTTCCCAAAATGCATTTGCAGGCTTTTGAAATTGAAATTCATTTTCAGCTGCCGACTTGACTTTTGACAGTTTTGTTCCATTAGTGCAGATGAGCAGCATTCAGAACAAGCTTGAAGAACATCAGCAGACGTCACCATTTCAAACTAAACATTTTGATTTCAGTAACGTTGATGAACTTGATTCTAAGGCACTGAGAGTTGCCCCGTGTGCCACTGCCTTGAGAGTGAGTCAGTGAGATGTTTTCTCTTGTATTCTGCCTGTTATTTTGTAACGTGCTTCATTCTAAAATGGTCTAACAAGTGACAATTGTGGGTTGTTTTTTAGTCCATCATTATTAGTCAAGACTTATTGCTCTTAAACAAATGTGATCATTTAGACACACGGCTGTGAAACAATGTGCACAGGGTTGGATTTAGTTTTGGGACAATAAGTAATCAGTTCTGTCCCAGAGACGAGAAAACTGACATGGTTTTTGAGGGCGCGACACTGTGCTTAACAATGCATAGAAGTGTGTCATTACATCCATTTCTACATTATTGCATACAGCTCATAACGTAACCCTGTTGGATGCCATGGGCTCAATGCTGTTAGAAACTTTTGCTAAGGTTTTCCTCTCATGGGCCAAGAAGTACTTCAGGATTTATTTTGCAATGACTGCAACAAAATATGATATGAGGTATTATTCAAACAAATATAAAGGTGTGGCTTTTTGTCATGATTTAAATGAGACTGAACTGAAATTATGCCATTTTGTCATTGTGCTAAAATGATATAAATATTATATATTAAAATATATTTGCTAACCTATTCCATCTTACCTGGTGTTGCTTTATTTCGGGGATGGTTGAGAGGTTACAAAGCAAAGGGAAAAGACAGTTCAGACTGCAGGCCAAAGGGACACATATTTAATTTTTTGGTCATATATGACTCAGATCAGATCTGACAGTGTGAAGAGCACAAACTACATGGAATCTGATCTTTTCTATTCTGATTTGAAAATATAAATAAGAACTGAGCACTGAGGCTTACAGTATTAATATAGCCAAAGCTGAACTGATCTATAAAATGGTGACTTTGTCAGGTTTCACCAGAGTTGAATGAAATCTTTTTTGCATATAGTACTTGCATAGAGTCTTCACAACTCAAGTGACAAGTTCACCTTGATAAATGGACACAGTTGTACTGAACTTTTACGGTTGCTGTGCAGTTGTCAGTTTGCAGTGCTGGAAGAAATATTCACATCCTTTACTTAAAGATTCCCTCCAGACATGTATTAAGACATACATACAAATAATCTGCTTGGAATAAGAATGCGTGTGTGTGTTATACAAAAAAGTATAATTTTCACATTCAAATCCTTTAAAAAAGGCATCTACTCTCTTTACCTCTTTAACAATTCCAGAAATTTGTTCATTTCTGATTTTTTTCTGCTCGGCACAAGATGTCTCCTACTTCACTTTAAAGTCCATTCTCAGTGTGTGTGCGCAACAACAACAGTAGCAACAACT